CCCCAAAACCCCAAAACCCCAAAACCCCAAAACCCCGCGTAAATGAGATTTTATTGAAAACATCAAATTATATGCAAAAGCTGTTAAATTTTAGTAGATACTCTGAGACAGCTTCATTGTCATCTCCTTTCTCCATAGAATATTGCTTCTCGATGTAGAATTTGATCAAAAAGTCGAACTGAGGAATCATCAGCATTGAGTGCAAGTTCTTCATCGAGAACTTATCTAAAGTTTTCAGGATTAAAGTTGGAATCTGAGCTAATTTTTCCGGGATAAACTCTCATGTTTCCTCTACTTCTTGTTGCTCTTCTATCCATTTCTTTAAATCAGTCGGGAATGAGAGCACCATTAAGTAAAAAGGTAGGAGAAGCCAGAAATCTTCAATGTAATAATTCAAATATTTCAGTGAATAATTGAGTCCTCTTGACTCAACCTTAATTTTCTTGTCAATCTCTCTACACTCTTGCTCATAATTATCTGAGAAGAACGTGCCATCTCTGAGGCTCTCTCAAGCTGCATAAATCAGTGTAATATTTTTCGAATCACCAATGAGATATTTGCTAAAATCTTGCTGGCCCTTAATAAGAGTGAAGTAATACTTCTTAGCTTTCCTTAGTACCGCTTTGAATGCGACATCTTTCCTTCCTGAGATAGAGTTATAAATCTTATTTAGCTCGCTTGTCCTGATCTTCTCAATTTCATTGAAAGCATCAGACTTAGTTGGTCTTGCCTTCTTCATCTCGACATAAATAGTCTGAATATCTTGCATTTCTTCAGACTCGTCACTGCTTCTCTCATGTACACGGGCTTCTTGGGGGTCATAACTAGAACTCTCTTGACTTTCTTGCTTGAATTTGACCTCTTGAACTATAGGGTAGTCAAGATGATCCTGTCCCCATTCTTGTTCTCTCTCCCACTCATCATTAACCTCTTGTTTAACAGTATTGATGGCATCATGGACTAAAAATGAGTAAGAAATTATGGCCTTACAATCTGGTGGGATAATAACCTTATTATCATCCTCAAATTCTTGCTTGATGTTAGTCTCAGTCTGGTCAGACTTTGTTGACTCTCTAATAGCAGAGACTACACTATTTACTTCCATTTTATTAATTTCAATAAATCCTATTTAAATTGGGGTTTTGGGGTTTTGGGGTTTTGGGG